TTATTATTTTATAAAAAGTTGTTGCATGAAATGCTCCCCAAGATGGGCGTGCAAAAAGATATAGAATAAGAACGTATACTGAGTTTCCGGATATGAATTAGAGTGCCTAAAAATAACTAATAAATTGGAAAAGTTTTAAAAAGTGAATTGCATTTTGAATACATTAATTACAGTTGCAAATGACATAACGATTTTTTTTAACTTCATATATATTTTGATAGAACATTGATATATATCGGCTTTATCACATGACAAAGATCCAATGATATCAGCACGTGAAGTATGAACGTCCTTTTTGTCAGAATTCAGACATTCATAATTAGTCATTTTAGATATTTGTTGCATTTGTATTGAGTCAAATATTTTTATGATGACACTATCCTATTTTTATATCCATGAATTTATTTTTGTTCGATCACACTAAAATTAAAGTATAAAAATTCGTACCATACATGAATTTTTTTTAAAAATTTTTCCTTTGGATTCCTTTTCGCGAAAATTCTTTAAAATGCTTAAATGATATATTTTTGCGGCCGATTTGATGCTTTGCATCAATTTAATTTGTCCTCTTTCCCCTCAAGATAACAGCAAGAAAGCACCATGCACTTTGATACCCTCTTGCATTTTCAAGAGAATTTTCCAAGATTTTCTATATCATTCTTGTAGCTTGTAAGTATGACTTGTTTGGGCTTGATTAGACTTTCGCCCATAAAGAAGACGGTGTCAATGGAGCATCGGACCTATTGTTGAAGGACATGTTGCACGGCCTTCAGCACGGAAGCTAGTCGCCTCTCATTGGTTTATGTATTTATGTACAGTGCAATAACCTTAAATATAATGGCATACACCATTTTACAATCTAACAGTCTGTGATCTTCACTAATTATGATTTGCTTCATTGATTAAATATTTTTATCACTGCTTTATTGAAACACTTTAGGCCAAATTATACCTGCAGATCTGTAGCTCGCTGGTCTGAAAAAAAAAATTGGGATGGACGACCAGAGAGCTACAGTGCCACCCATTGAAAAAAAAGTGTATATTTAATGCGCACAAAAAGTGCGCTGTTTCTCGATTTATTTCATGGTATATATTTAAACTGCCATCTCAAAATATTACAAACTGTGTGTTCCTAACATTTTTTCACTACTTCCCCAATAAACATTTCCCAAAACCGTTGTTAATAGTCCTCCTGGGCCTGAAATTGAGACCATCGAAAATTTCGCCTACCTATACTGCCATCTTGGGTGGCAAGAAAATTCGTACCAACGCACTTCATACATGACTTTTACATAGTTTTGTTGTGGAAGTAGTAAAAGAATATGTTAAGAACATGCGGTGAGTGAAATTTGGATATATACGGAGAAATAAATCGAGAAACAGCACACTTTTTTGTGCGCAATAAATGTGCCCTTTTTTTGAATGGGTGGTACTGTAGTTCTCTGGTCGTCTAGTAGGTAAGAACTGAAGAACAAAAATCTAACGATCTGAAATCCATAGTAAAAATACTTTGATTTACTATAGTGAAAAACTTTGATACTATAGTTAACTATAGTAAACTATAGTTTACTATAGTTAACTATAGTACTTTTTTGTTGGGGCAGTTGCTCAAGTATTTTGTATGTTGTTTCTATGCTTGCTTGGCGGGGCTCTATTGACTATATAGTGCAAATGCATTAAATCTTTGAAAATATTCTCTGCTCCTGGGTATTATTTAATCAAACTAAGTACATTGTTATGATAAGCAAGGATGCTTCTTCCAAAATTGTGAAATTCATGGCCCCACGGACAGGGGTTCTGGTGCTAGGGCGGGGCTATATAGATTTTATAGTGAAGGTGAATTATTTATTTGAAAATCTTCTCTGCCCCTGGGTATTAATTAAACAAACTAAGTGCATTGTTATGATATGCAAGGATTTTGAATTTCATGGCCCCAGTGTCAAGGGTTCTGGTGAAAAGGGGGAAGGGGGGCTCTTTTGATTATATAGTGAAAAAGCAAAATTTCTTTAAAATATTCTTTTCTGCTTCTGGTTAAAAAGCAAAGAAGCTAAGTGTATAGTTATGATGAGCAAGAGTGCTTCTTCCAGAGTAGTGAATTATATGACCCCTGGGTCAGATGGCTGGTGTAAGGGGGCTCTTGTTAATATACTGAAAATGCATTAATTCTATTAAATAATCCTGTCTCCTCCTTAGTGTTAAGCAGATAAACAAATTGATTACTTATGATGAGCAAACTTCTGGTCCCAGGGTGAGAGGCTATGGTGTTTCTCGGTGGGGAGAGGGTGGGGGCTCTATTGATAATATAGTGAATCTGTAGTAAAAATGCATTATTTCTTTAAAAATCTTCTCTGCACCTGGGCATATCAGAGGCAAAAGGAGTAAAAGTTTTAATAAGGAAGGGTATTTTTACCAGATTTTTGAACATCTTGACCATTTGGTCAAGTGTTCTAGTCCTGGCCGGGGCTCTATTAATTTGTATTCTACTGAGAAGAGTTATTCCCCTTTGTCATTTACTTTTGATAATTAATCACTGTAAATAATGTACTTGAAAGGTTAATAGAATAAGAGAATTATGCAAGAATTTTTATTGTATAATACAGAAAGTACTTTCATAGTTTTAATGATCAGGTAGACTTGTAAGTAATAGATAAATAAAAATGAGACAAAAATAACTTGTCTTATTAAATGTTCATCAAAGACCAAGAGAGGCCAATGTAAGAGATTTCAGCAAGGAATTAAAATAGTACAGAAGCACTGATATTTTGTTAATATACTTTATGGTGATAGTGATAAATGGGGAACAGATTACAACCTAATATATGAACTGTTAATAAATGCTAGACTAATTATTTTGTTGATCTTGATCACCCTATTTTTCTTGCTTTTGGGCAAAAGAGCTTCACCTTTCAGTTCATTTTATACTCAATGGATCCTCTAAATTGTTGTATTATACTCAGGTGACCGTTAAGGCCCTTGGGCTTCTTGTTAAAATTAAGCATTATCTCTATGTGATAGTGTAGATTTACAAGTATACAGGGTATACATGTTGTTCATGGTCCACGGATTTTCATTCTGGTCGTTGGATTTAGGTGTCAAAGGTGAAATTATTAGAGGGTATAGTGGAATTGAAGTGTTTGAAATTCATTTTTATTTTGTATGTGTTGTGATCAATATCTAAATTTATTTTATTGGAGTTTACTGACAAAAACAGAAAAGTAAGACAAATTGATCTTTATTAACTTGTAAGAATGCTGTACGATAGAAAATTGAGTGAAAAATATGAGTAGTGTTTATTTAATACCGTATAATTAGAAAGAACAAGTCTCAGTAAGGCTTATCTGTGGTCCCCAGTTACTCGTTAAATTTCGAACATTTATTGAATTTTTTGAAAATTAAATTTTATTATTAACTAATGTCTTTATTATTTGAATCATCATCTAAAAATGTCAAACAATAGATATAGGCAGCATACGAAGCTGCGCGTTTAAGGTAGGGTCATATGTTTTTCATGAATATCGAAAGAAATCAATGACAGGTACACACTTTAAAGCTGTCGTAAACACCGAGCACAGGTTTGTTCAGAGTCGAGTTTGAAATATAATTTGTATATTACATGTGTAAAGGTTGAGTGAAAATATCTTTGTTGAACAACCTTGTGCTCTGTGTTTTCTAATTGAAAGTATTGTGAATTTGAATCTCTTCGCTGACTTCATTTACATGCGATTAACCTGTTTATGACCTGTTTAGAATCATAACAAGCCACGTGGATTTGTATCGTTACGGGTAAATGCCCCAGTAAACGTGCCAGTTCTCAGTTGAAACGTACTCAGTTTTATATCGATCAGCTTGGACTTGTTTGGTTCATCTTGTTACAAGTGTATAGCTTTTATTGCCAAAGTTTTATAAATAGAAAATTGTATTTGTAGTTGATTGTGAATCTTGAACATATACATGTACTAGTAATTCGTCTTTGAAAGAAAAATGTCATACCAAGATCTTCTTTTTATAGTGTAGTGATGTACGATGTATTTATGATCGGGATCGGGATCCTTATAATGTATATAAATAGAATGTAAATAGTTTTCAGTAGTTACCCCCTAGACCTTGCAGAGTCCAGACGTTTTATAAGGCCTGTGAGATCCGGTAACTAAGATCTTTGGTGAGGTATTGACTCATCTATTGGTTATTCATTCTTATTTCATTGTATTTATTTATGTCTAAATATTAACACAACATTGGTGTCAGAAGTGGTTGTAGATTTCAATCGAATACCCCGCACAAAAGATCGTGAATTTTGGCGCCATTTTTAAAAATAAATTCTTTGTTCGCCTAAATAAGATCAGGGTACATTGAATAAATAGTGTTAGTATTTTGTAAGATCCTTTGTCATTATTTTTCAATTTTCAATTTTTACTTATTTTTTCTTAGCCTACAAGAACATGTTTTTTTTTGCATCTCATACAATTGCATGACTATTTCGTCGGAGTGTCTGATGATTTAGTCAAACACATCATTTAAGACCATTGATAGTGAATAAGTAGGCTAATATAGTGGGTAAATAAGATAATAAGATCAAGATCATGACTTCCCCTATAGATATGAACACAGCCTCTGTTGAAGATCTTGTGAGGATAAACAATATAGGTAAAGTAAGAGCACAGGCAATTGTAGATGCACGATTAAATAAGGGAACCCTTACATTAGAAGATCTTAAGGTAATCCCTAGTATCCCAAGTAATATCTGGGACCCTCTTGTCGATCAGGGTAAGATAATTGTCCCTTCAACTTTAAGAAATACTTTGTCCACACAGATCACTGGACAAGTAGAAAAATCACAAGACAGATCACAAATTCAAACAGAATCAATAGAGCATGTACAGACACTGCAATCACAAGAAAACTTATACCAACAAATAGAAAATTTACAAAGAGAGTTACGAGAGAGAGAACATCAGATCAGAGAGAGAGAACATCAGATCAGAGAGAGAGAAAATGTGATCATGGAGAGAGAGAAAGAATTAGAAGAAAAAGATCAATTGTTACAAGAAAAAACTGTCCGTCTTGAGAATAGTGAAGGGGAAGTTTCAATGTTACAGAGAAGTTTGGTCGTTAATAGAGAGAAGTATGATGGCATGTTTGAAGATTTGCAAAAGAAAGTTAATTTAAGAGAACAAGAACTAAATGATCAGTATGAGAGATTTGATGAACAAAAACAAAAAATAAGAGCATTAGAAGAGCAAGAGCGTGCTGAAAGAGAAGAACATTTAAGATCAAGAATGAGAGAGATGGATGAAAGAGAAAGGGAGATTGTGAAAAGAGAAAAAGAATTGAACCAAATGAAAGCAGAATTAGAACATCAACGCTTTACATCAAGAATAGAAAAATTTGCCCCACATAGTATTTATAGTCATAAGAACGAATCTAGTGTAGAAAAACCAGAAGAGAAGAAAAACTCAGTTTCCAGTCCAGCACCCCCAAAACTTGCTACGTATGATGGCAAATCAGAATGGAGACCATATTTCACTCAATTCAATCACATCGCTAAAAAGTACAAATGGAATGACTCAGACAAATTAGATAAGCTGATTGAGTGTTTGAGATACAAAGCATTAAAGTTTTATAGTTCAAGAGCTGAAAACGTACAACAAGATTACAAATTGCTCTGTCAGAAATTGAAAGAACGATTTGATAAGAAGGACCAGCCACACATTATTCGAAGACAGCTGCAAGAGATTAAACAAAATCCAGAAGAAACGATTGAAGAATTTGCGGAGCGCATTGAAGAACTTGCTGCTGAAGGATATCCAGAGACCCCTGAATTCTTCAAAAACACCATCACTGTCGATGCTTTTCTTCGAGGCTGTACAGAGAAACGGGCTGCATTGGTCACTCTTGATAAAGATCCACAAACTCTGGACCAGGCAATTAACTACATGAAAAGTTCCATCACCAATCAAAAATTAATAATGGGCCCAAAGAAAGAGATCAAAAGCGTTACATTTGAGAACATGAAATCTGACGATAGTCCATCCAAAGACATCAGTATTCGAATGGCAAGGAGTCCATCACCACCAAAGCCTTCATTAGAATCAAGAATTTCAGCTTTAGAAAAAGAGAGCAGGGAAACAACTAGACTGCTAAAGGAAATTTTGAGAGTATTGCAAGTGCCCGATGAAGAAAGACAACCCAGATCAAGATTTCAGTGACCAAAAAGAACATATACATCAACATCAAGGTCAACGTCAAGGTATACATCACCACAAAGATCGTGGAATGCATCAGGACCAAGATATGCATCACCAAAAAGATCTCCATCAAATAGTCCTGTTAGGTCAGAGAGTGAGAGCGAGTGCTATGTGTGTGGTAAAATGGGACATTTTGCTAGAAATTGTTGGAAATCAAAATCAAGATCGCCCTCACCAACACAAAAAGTTGTCAATTTAAACTTTCAAGAGCTGAGGAAATAGGTCATTCCTCAGCTCGTACAAACACACAAAGACCTCAACCACACACTAAATTTAAATCAAACATAAAAGAAATCGAATTAACACAAGATAGATCCATGAAATATAAGACACTCTATCTACCAATAAGAGTTCAGAACATTAGTACAGAAGCTGTTTTAGATACTGCAGCTCAGGTGTCCATCATAAACTGTGAACTCTATAAAAAACTGAATCCAAGTCCTCAACTTACTGACCATGTTTCCTTAAAGGGTATAAGTAATACCAAGGTAGATTCTGTCATATGTAAAAGTGTACCCTTATCAATAGGAAATATCAGTACAAAATGGAATTTTGTAGTGGCTAAGGTGTCAGATCCAATAATTATAGGCCTTGATTTTTTAGAACATACTAAGGCAACTATAAATTTACAGGATTTTTCAGTAACAATAAAAAATTGTAAAATACATGTAAAATGTATCGCAAATGAGGACAAAGAAAAAGTCAAAATTTTCAGAATACACACAAAAAAGAAAGTGGTGGTTCCCCCACATGCTTATATTTATTCTGAAATAGATTATGACATTACCCCAGAATCTGACATTGCTATAAGTCCATGTTACAATCTTCATGGTCTTTTGTCACCAAATTGTGTAAATAGCAAAAATCAAAATTTTATTTTATTGAGAAACCCCACAGACAGTTATAAAACTATTAAGAAAAACTTTGACGTGGGTTTTGGTATACAGTTAGACAAGGTTTTGGACTATGAAAGATCACAGTCATTAGGTATTGAAGATCTTGTAAATATCAGAAAATTAGGTATTGAAAATCTACCGGTAAGTTTAGATCAGATTAGACAAGAAATACCAAAACATTTGACTGAAATGTTTGAAAGATCAATTAAAAATCTGTCAACAGAACAAAGTATCCTGTTTGTAAAATTCATTATTTCATTTCAAGATGTTTTTGCAAAAAATGATTTTGACATGGGTTTATTCAATGGGGATATTCAACATAGAATTGATACAGGTGATGCTAAACCAGTCAGACAAAAATTAAGAAGAACATCCTTATGTTTTGAGAAGGAAGAAAAAGAGCATTTAGATCAAATGTTAGAGAAGGGTATCATAGAACCTTCTTCTTCCGAGTGGGCTTCATCTCCAGTACTAGTTAGGAAAAAAGATGGTAGTCTAAGGTACTGCATAGATTTTAGATCATTGAACAAAGTTACAACTAAAGATGCTTTCCCTCTACCAAACATCACTGACTGCATAGATTCATTGAAGGGGAGTAATTTCTTGAGTACTCTGGACATGCAAGCAGCATATTGGATCATTTCTGTACATAAAGATGACAAACATAAGACTGCTTTCATAACAAAATATGGTTTGGTTGAACATAATAGGCTACCATTTGGTCTGTGTAATAGCCCTGCTACATTCAGTAGAGTTATTCAATTAGTTCTGCAGGGTTTAACATGGACAGAGTGTTTAGCATATTTAGATGACATATTGGTTCTAGGCTTTAACTTTGAAGATCATCTTAAAAATCTAGAGCATGTACTATCAAGATTTAAGCAATACAATCTCAAACTTAAACCAAAGAAATGCCAATTTTTTCAGAAAGAAGTTAAATTCTTAGGTAAAATTGTGAATGGAAAAGGGATTATGATTACTCCTGAAAATATCACAACAATGAAAAATTGGCCAGTTCCAACAAATGTTAAAGAATTGGAATCATTTCTTGGTTTTGCAAATTATCATAGAGAACATGTTGACCATTTTGCTAACATTGTTGAACCACTTCACCATTTAGTTAGTAAGCATTCAGGATTCAATTGGCTAGATGAACATCAAGAGGCATTTGATAAATTGAAAGATTCTCTGTTAAATGCCGCAATATTAAACCACCCAGATCCTGACGAGACTTTTATATTAGATACTGACGCTTCAGATAAGAGTATAGGAGCGGAATTAAGTCAAATTCAAGATGGTGTAGAAAAAATTATTTCATTTGCAAGTAAAGTTTTGACACCAGAACAACGCAAGTATTGCACAACAAGAAAAGAACTATTATCTATTGTTGTTTTCACCAAACAATTCAGACATTATTTATTAGGAAGACCTTTTGTAATTAGAACAGATCATAACAGTCTGATTTGGTTGATGAATTTTAAAAACATTCAGGGTCAGCTAGCTAGATGGCTAGAAGAATTAGCACAATATAATATAGTCATTCAACACAGATCTGGTAAACATCATCAAAATGCAGATGCATTGTCTAGAATTCCTGATCCAGTACCATCATGTAATGACTAAAAAGCAAATATTCCACTAAATTCTCTTCCATGTGGAGGTTGTACTTTTTGTACTAGAGCTAGAAAACAATGGGAAACTTTTGAAGAGGATGTAGATTATGTAGTTCCCATATCAATAAGATCAACAAAAACAAGTTCAGATTTAGATCAGTATACAAGCTTATTATTAGATAATGATGAAATAAAAAATGCACAAGAACAAGATCCAGATGTAAGTCAAATTGTATTATGGTTGAAAAACAAATATGAACCATCCATTCAAGAACTCCAGCTGTCTATTAAGACCATTAGACACTTTTGGTTATGTAGATCACAGCTACAAATAAAAAATGATATCCTGTATTATTTGTGGGAAGATCCTATTATGCCGAGATTACTTTATGTAGTTCCAAAAAGTCTGAAACAAAAAGTACTAGAATTGTGTCATGATATTCGTCTTTCAGGGCATTTAGGGCAAACAAATACAATAGAAAAACTAAAGAAATGTGCTATATGGTATAATATGCATACTGACTGTAAGGAATATGTAAGATCATGTGAAATTTGCAATAAAAACAAAAAACCAAATGTTAAAGCTAGAGGACAATTAGGGCAGTATCATTCTGGTGTCCCAATGGAAAGAGTTCATATGGACATTTTAGGTCCCTTACCTGAAACAAAATTAGGAAACAAATACATTTTAATGATCATAGACTAATTTACAAAGTGGGTCGAATGTTTCCTTTTACCAAATCAAAAAGCTGAGCTTATAGCTAAGACATTTGTAGATAATTTCATTTGTAGACTGGGTTGTCCTTTAGAATTACACACTGACCAAGGTAAAAATATGGATGGTAATATCTTGCGAAATATCCGTGATCTTTTACAAATCGCTAAAACGAGAACTACCCCATATCACCCAGCTTCAAATGGTCAGATAGAAAGATATAATCGAACAATTTTACAAGCTTTAAGGTGCTACATAAAAAACAAACAAGATACCTGGGACTCATATTTACAACAACTGGCAGGAGCAATTAGAGCTACAAAGAATAGACAAACGGGGTTTACACCAAATCAAATGATGTTAGGAAGGGATGTTATACAACCCTTAGACATATTTCTTGGTACAACAATCAATACAAAAGAAATAGATACAAATGAATATGTTTCAAAATTAAGATCAAATTTAGAACTTATCCACAAAGAAGCCAGAGATAATCTCAAATCTTCACAACAAAGACAAAAAAGAGATTATGACTTGAAATCTTTTCAAAGTACATATCAGATAGGGGATGTTGTATATAAATTGAATTCAGCCACAACTGTTGGCCAAAGTCCAAAATTAAAATCCCCTTGGAAAGGCCCTTACATCATTTCAGAAGTTAAATCCCCTGTTTTGTATAAAATAAAAAACAGAAAAAGAGAAGAAGTTATTCATCATGACAGAATTAAGCTTTGTCAAGATCGAAACCATCCTGTATGGTTATCCCGGTTAAGAAATCAAATTCTTTAAAAATGTGATGTTGAGGATAGCTCTGTTCAAGAAACTGATTTTGACAATGTGTTCAACCTTTCAGAACTTTTTAATGCACAAGAAAATAATTTTTATGATGAAAGTGAAGAATTGTCTGGAGATCAACAGATAGTGGAGTCGGATACTCTGATACCATTGTCTTGTGATGTCTCAGATAGTTCTAAAAACAAACCAGAGAGAAATAGGAGAAAACCTAGATATTTGGCTGATTATGATCTTGATGATTAATTTGCCAATATATTAATGTTTTATTGTAATATATATATATATTTTATGACATATGTAGCTTGGCTTACAGACTCAGCCTACATGTAGATATTTTATCTATAATATGTAATGAGTAAGGATACTTATTCTAAAAAAAAAAATACATGTAAATATGTATATAAATATTAGGTATTGACTGAGTATAAAAATACACTTGTGAATATATTCAGTGTTTTATTTAGTTAGAATGGAAGAAGAAAGGGACTTCGTTCCTGATTATGAACCCGAGTATGATCAACTACTCAGTCCTCCATCTAGGGTGCCTGGTTCAACTACCAGTAAAAGAGGGAAACCGTGCCCAATCTGTATGGCCAAATTTACGCATGTTAAGCGCCATGTCATAAAAGATCATTTGCCATGGTATGCCTCTCCCTCTACATGCTGTCCATTTTGCAGAATTAACTTTGGCCAAAAACACTTTTTAGATGTGCGTGTGAAAAATCAACATAACAATAATAGCCCTCTACAGAAGTTTGACCATTTCTGGATGGATTTTATGTATTACCTATTCTTACAAATTATTCATGTTTTGAAATTAAAAACTTTTGAGAATCTGTTTAAATTCATTAACAGTAATGAACAGTTCAGTTGTTGTCAGGGATATGTTTTTCAAGAAGATGATCTTTTTCTAGGTGAAAAATTTTTAAAAGTAAAATTTCC